TTTGAATTGAATGATTACAAATATATTATTTCTTTTAAATTGCATTGATTTTAGTTATAAGTTTTTATAACATATTAAGTTGTTAGGTCACTTAGTAGTTTTTATGTATTTTCTTAGGAAATGATGTGGAGGGAGACAGATCAAAAGTCAGGTTTAGCTTTATTTTTTATATTTTGGAGTTTATTGTTTGGTATTGTGAGAGCTCGTTTCTTTGTTTTTCTCTTTTCTGGATCTGATTTTTCCTCCCAGGATCGTCCAGGCTGATTTGGGATCGTCCTGGGACGATCAGCGCATGGCAAAATCCCGAGAGCAAGACGATGTGGCGATCGGCCGGGCCGATCAGAATGATGTTATAAGGAAATCAGCTCGATTTGAGGAGAGAGAAATTTCATTTTATAAAATCAAAATATCTGAGGAGAGAGAAAGAGAAGAAAAGCAAAGGAAAAGCCGGATTTCGGAGGCCGCAGAGCGCTTTTCGTCCGTCGCCGCTGTTGAGCAATTTGTTTATCTCGTGGTAAGGACTCCGAATCCTATTTCTGTTTTCGAAGATGTTGAGTTTTGGTCGTTTTGTGCACAGATTTGTGTTTTCGTTACCGATAAACGCGCCGCATTTTGTATTGACGAAACTTTCACCGCACAACTTTTGATATATTATTGATATGATTATTCTACACATTTTGAGTATTTTTTGTAACAATTCTACAGGTTATTTTGGGTTCTGTGCGATTTTGATCGAATAGATAAATATCATGATGTTGATTGATGTTGTTTCAGTAGAATAGAAGTCTTATATTATTGTTGTGAACGTTCTGTGGAAATTTGGTAAAATTGTGATTTTTAGGAATTTTTGTGTAAATTCCGTATACTGCCGTTATGCCGCTGGATTTTCGTACTATTTCCGATTTTCTGAAATTGAGAATTTGAATGCATACAAATGTGACTATCTAATTACTGAATACTGAAAGACAAGTGAAGACTGGTTGAACCGTTGGTTGGAGATCGACTTGACCTGTATAGGATGGTGGGCCGACGGGCTTTCCTTTAAAAAGGGTTTGGTGTTATCATCTATTGATCATGGATATAACGATTGGGAGTCATAAGGAGATTACTATGCCGACGGGCACAGAGTGACGACTCTTATTGAACCAACAGATATATATCTACAACAGCACTATGGATTATCGACTTGAAAAACGCCTTGATAGCCAGTGATTGTACTTGTTCAGTAAGACTATTGAATTGAATTGCATACGGTATTGATCTATTGATTTCATTATGGATTTTATTGACATTAACTAGTATGGATTTCCTGATATGAATTGATCTTATTGATTTCTGATTGATTTATTGATTACCCTACGCATGATTGATATCGACGGATTTATTGTATTGAATCGATTTATTATTGAATGGATTTACTGACGGATTTACGGGTTTACTATTATTGTACGATTTCATTGATATTTATATTCTGTCATTGTGCATTTCTATTGTTATAGATACTGTATATATATGGATATTGTATTGATTCATGAATACATATACCGATACTATTGATTCATCGATATTATTTCAATTGTATTTGCCGATTATATTGATTTCATTTCAACTGCTCTTATGATGTATTGATTTGATTGTTTTATGGGACTCTATGCCGATTGATATTATTGACTGGAAGTAATTGCTTTACTGATTTGATTGATGTGATTTCACTGTTGTAGCATCATTCGTTGTCGTCATTGGATTGTTCTCGTTGTGGATATGGATACATACGCTGCCGTACTGACAGGGAGTAAGTGATATTGAACAACTGATCGATTTGCAAGTGTGTTTTCTAATACGATTCTATTCTATTGATTTGAGTGATGTTATAGACTGATACTAGAGATAAGATGGCTAGACGACTATATTGATGTAACTGATGTTATTGACTGCTATGATAGATACTGTAGAGATTTGATATACGCATTGATTTCTTGAGCTTTATGGATTTCCTACTGTTCACTGATTTTACTGATTTATGTTATGTATTAATTTCTGTATCTGCATTGACTTAATTGATCATGTGCGATTGATTGATTTGACTTGATTTGATTGACCTGCATATTACTTCTATCGTGCTTTGATTTCAGTTGTAGGCTTTGGTGACCTGCTGGGCTATTTAAGCTCATTATATGTGGTTAATAATTTCAGGTGCAGAGCCTCCCGCTTGAAGTTTCTTCGGTCACTAGTATTGTTTTGTTTTTTTTTTTTATTTTTGGTAGCCTTTGGCAGGCATTTGTTTTGTAGCCGTATGGCTATTGTGTATATTCTTTTGGACGCTCCTTTTGACTGTATATATGTTGAAATGTGAATCATAGTAGTTGCTGTATTTCTTTTCTTTAATGCAATTATCTCTGGATGTCTGTATTGATCTGAATGAAAAGAAAGAGAAAAAAAAAATGTCAGATGAATCCTTTCACTATTGATATCTAGGTTGTCACAGGTATCTAGGAACAAAGAATGATAGATTGATATTATAAAATAAATTCTTAATTATTTTATGTTAATTTTGAGAAATGAACCATATTGCAAATTAATGAAAAAGACTATGAATTGATTCTGTTAATTTTTAGTTAATAAGTGATATTAGTAGCTCTAATAGATTAATCAAGAGATAAAATAGATAATTCTTTCAAATTTAAATTTCGAGACATCAAAATTTTTTATAATATTCTAACAAGGTGACATGAGAAATGCTTCTAGTCATAATATTATCATAATATTCTAACACAATAATATCTATCTATTAATAAAACATGAATATTAAAAAAAAAATATAATTCCAATACGCCTAACTAGTTATATCATATGAGAAATGCTTGTTAAGTCGTGCTGTTCCACTTAACTTTTTGTCCATGCCAATAATGCGCAGCAATATTTGATTTCATTATGTTTTTGATAGAAGAATACTAGATTATTTTTAATGTTACTTAACAACAGGGGCGAAATCGGCTTGTCTTTTAAGAGTGTTCATAAAAATATATTAAGATTTTAAAAAATAAAATAAAAAATAAATAATTTAAAGTAAAATCTTGTATTTCATTATGATATGCTTATACACTTATCAACCTATTTTGCTTCTTGTGATAATGTAAAATCAAGTAAATCATAATAGTTATTGAAGCCAAATTCATAAAGCGTTGTTTGTTGAATCCTCATGATAGGATTTGCTTTATCCTTAAAGCTTCGAGAGGGATATGAGAGGAGGCATTCTTTAATGTTGATTAAAATTTGTTGTATGTTTTCACTTTTTTAAATTTAATTGCATTAATTATGAAAGGCTCCCCTTGCTAATTCTAAAATAACCTTAAAAAATGAGAATAATGATATTGTCATGATAGCTATTCTAAAATCTTAAGATAAATTAACTAATGACAAAGGGAAATAGTTAGACGACAAAAGAAATTAAGATAAATAACTTCCACAAAAATCATATCATCAAGCTAAAGGATCTAAATGTTGTAGTTGTCAGTGTCATGCAAGGAAGAGGCATCCTTGTCGTGCAAGGAGGAGGCGACAATGTTGTGACTTATGTGACTAGCGACTACGACGTGCGAGTTGCAAGCAACGTGAAGGAGAAAAATAAAATATATTGAAGAATTGTGGAGATAATGGCATATAAGAGCAAAAAGAAATTTTAAGGGGGCTAGGGGCAATTGTTCACCCTGACCATAAGATGGATCCGCCCATGCTTAAGGAAACAAATACTATTTGAGTAAATAGGAGTCTTAAACTTTTTATACTACAACAGCAACAACATTAAGCCTTTGTCCTACTACGTGGAGTCGGCTACATAAATCCTTTTTCGATACTGTGCCTTGTTAAAAGTCTAATTCTCATTCAAATCTAATACATAAAGATCATTTCTAATATTTTCTAAAAAAGTCTTTTTAGGTCTACCTCTATCTTTCTTAATATAAGTCAAATCTATTACCTCAACTTTTCTATTCGGGTCATCGGAAGGCCTCCGTTTAATATGACCAAACCATGTAAGACGACTCTCTCTAATCTTATCTTCAACTGGAGCTACTCCAACCTTTTTACATATATGTTCATTTCATATCCTATCTCTAAGAATAAATTCACTCATCCACCTAAGCATACTGATCTCTGCAACATTTAAAACTTAGTATTATGCTTCTCTTTTAATGGCCAACATTTGGCACCATAAAGCATTGCAGGTCTCACCACCATCTTATGGAAATTTCTCTTAAGTTTGAGGGAAACTTTTCTATCACACAGCAAGCCCGATGCATTCCTCCACTTCAACCATCCAATTTGAATTCTGCTGATAATATTCCCATCTATATCATCATCACTCTGAACAATCGATCCAAGATATATAAAACATATACTCTTATTAATGACTTGATCGCCCAAAGTCACAATCCCCTCAATAGATCTATTGCTACTAAATTATACTCTATATATTCAGTTTTAGATCGACTAAACCGAAAACCTTTAAACTCTAAAGTTGACCTCCATAATTCAAGTTTACCTTCAACTCCCTCTCTAGTCTTATAAACAAGAAGAATATCATTAGCAAAAAGCATACACCAAGGTACATCCTCTTGCAAATGTCCATTGAGAACATCCATGACTAAAGCAAAAAGATATGTACTTAAAGTTGATCCTTGATGTAATCCAACGGAAATAGGAAAATACTTGGTCAAACCACCTTGTGTTTGAATACAAATAATAGCTCATGTATACATATCTTTAATGATTTGAATATAAGCTTTATTAACTACTTTCTATGTTAAATAAATAAATATGAGTGAATTAAGTGCTTTGCATGTAAAATTAAAAAATATATATATTTAAAATAGAGAAAAAGTCATACATAATAACATAACACTCAAATACTAATTATTTATCGGGTTTACTTCTATTTACTAAATTATCATCTAAATAATAAAATTTTAACACATATATTTTTTATTGTTTCAATTAATTTTTTTTAATATTTTAATCTTGATATGCTCAAATATAAGTGTTTGGTAGTTTATAATTTTGAATGCCATATTTGCAAATCCTCTTGAAAATATTGGGCCAACATCTGGATTCCCAAATGCAATCTCCATCTTAGCTCTAATTTTTTTTAGACCTCTGGATTGAGTCAAAACTCCGGACTACCAGGTCAAAATAAGCTGCCTCTATACGGTAACTCAAATCCATTACAAATTCCCCCAAATCTCAAACAAAAAAGCTTTGTTCCAAGCTGCTAATGGTGAATCTTCTGTTATGCTGAAAGAGCTCGCCATCTTAGCCCAACTGATCCAATCCTACGCCCTAACCGGCAAGCTTCAGAAGGGCAAGCAGCTCCATGCACACCTCCTCACATCCACTGGCATCTCTTCCACCTTCATCGCCAACCACCTTCTTAACATGTACGCCAAGTGCGGCGACCTCACGCACGCCCTCTCCATGTTCGACCATATGCCAAAAAGAAATCTCATCACTTGGACAGCCATGATAACGGGCTTCTCCCACAACGCCAGGTTCCTCGACTCCGTCCTGACTTTCTCCAACATGTGCGCCGCCGGTATTCAACCGACCCAGTTCGCCTTCTCCAGCGCCGTCCAAGCTACTACCTCTCTCAGATCGCTTGCATTCGGGAGGCAACTGCACTCTCTTAGCCTGAAGCTAGGCTACCACGCAGAGTTGTTCGTCGGCAGCAATCTCGCTGACATGTACTCTAAATGCGGCTCTTTGGACGTCGCTTGCAGGATTTTTGAGGAGATTCCGGAAAAAGACGAGGTTTCCTGGACGGCCATGATCGATGGGTATGCAAAGAACGGCGATTTCCATGAAGCTTTGATGGCATTTCGCAAAATCCTTGATAATGAAAACCTCGTCGCCGATCAGCATGTTTTTTGCAGCGCTCTCAGCGCTTGTGCTGGGCTGAAAGCTGGTAAACTAGGCCAATCAATCCATGCCAGTGTAGTGAAATCAGGCTCTTCGGCAGAGAGCGCTGTCAGCAATTCACTCACAGACATGTATTCCAAGGCTGGAGACATGGAGAGCGCCGTAACTGTTGTTAACACCTTTCCAAATGGCTGGAATGTTGTGTCGTGTAGCTCGTTGATCGACGGCTATGTCGAGATGGATCACATGGAAGAAGCGATTAACACATACGCTGAATCAAAAAGGCGAGGACTTTACCCGAACGAGTTCACCTTCTCGAGCTTGATCAAGGCTTGCGCTAACGATGCCGCTCTGGATCAAGGTACCCAACTCCATGCTCAGGTGATCAAAACAAGCTTCATTCTTGACTCCTTCGTCTGCGCCGTTCTCGTCGACATGTACGGCAAATGTGGCCTTCTCTTCTCTTCAAGTCAAATATTTGAAGAAATTGAAAACCCGACCGACATCACCTGGAATTCCAAAATAAACGTCTTGGCACAGCACGGCTGCGGGAAGGAGGCTATTGAAGCATTTGATCAAATGGTTGCATGGCACATTAAACCGAACCATGTAACCTTTGTCAGCCTTCTAATGGCCTGCAGCCATTCCGGACTAGTAGAGCAGGGGCTTCAATTCTTTGGTTCGATGAACGAAGCCTTCGGCGTCGAGCCGAGAGATGAACACTACTCCTGCGTAATCGACATGCTCGGGCGAGCTGGGAGGCTCGAGGAAGCTGAGATATTCATCGGTAAGATGCCTTCCGAGCCGAACGCCTACGCTTGGTGCTCTCTTCTCGGTGCCTGCCGGACGCACGGGCGGAAAGAGCTTGGCGAGCTGGCGGCGGAGAAGTTGATGAGATTAGAACCGGAGAACAGCGGAACCCACGTTCTTCTCTCGACCATCTACGCCGGTGTGGGGCAGTGGGAAGACGTGAAGGCGGTGAGGAGGCTGATGAAGGATAGCGGGAGGAAGAAGCTCCCGGGGCTGAGCTGGATTGAGGTGGAGAAGAAAACACATGTGTTCGGCGCTGAGGATTGGTCGCATCCGAGGAAGGACGAGATCTACAAGAAAATGGAGGAACTGTTGATGCGGATCAGAGGAGAAGGGTATGTACCTTACACGGCGGCGGTTGTGAGCAAGGTCGAGGAAAGCGAAAAGGAGAGGCTTTTGAGGCATCACAGTGAAAGAATCGCGGTGGCGTTCGCACTTATAAGCTCGCCGGCGGGAAAACCGATTATTGTGAAGAAGAATCTGAGGGTTTGTGTGGATTGCCATTCGGCCATGAAGCTTATTGCGAAGGTGGAGAGGAGGTTGATTATTGTAAGGGATAGTGCTCGGTTTCACCATTTTCAGGATGGCAACTGCTCTTGCAGGGATTATTGGTGAAACAATATAAATTGTTTAGATTTTTATTAAATTAAATGATTTAAATTCTATAATTATTTATTCAATTATATTTTTTTATTATCAGAATTTTGTCCAGTAATTCTGGAACTCTAATTCTGATCGTTAAAGGCTTGGGTTGATAATATATTTTGTGAACACGAAGACGACGCTATATTGCTCTGTTTAGGAGGAATTTTTATTAGGTCCGGATATCTGACGTAGCTCTACATCCGGACGTCAATAAAACGTCGTCACGTGCTCTTACTCGTTAGCTCTATATCCGGAACTCAATATTGCTATGTATTAGCTGATTTATACAGACCAGGTATTGCTAAGTTTTGCTCGATATTGCTCGGTAACGAGAAATACCATTATGTCGAGATCAATACCTAGCAATACTGAGCAATACCCCGGTTTTGCTAGGTATTGCTCTGTATTGGTCTTGATAGAGCGGTATTTCTCGTTATTGCCAAGCAATACCGAGCAATACACGAACATAGCAATGCCGGGTTTCCGTTCCGGGTAGGGTTGTCGGGCCGCACGGTAAAGAGTAAGAACACGTGACGACATTTTATTGGCGTCCGAATGTAGAGCTAGGTCAGGTGTCCGGACCTAATAAAAATTCGTTTACGAGGCAATTCAACTATGTGTATTATGAAATAATCATTTTACAGAACTATTAGTCAAAGGTCAATCTCCAACCAAACTACATTCTACCGTTTGCAACTCCCACGAGCAGCGACAAATATAAACATGTTTTTAAGTTTTATCTCGACTACGACGCCAACAATATTGACATTGCATTATTCAAAAACCAATCTTTTAAATTCTACGTCTAGAATAAGATCAAACTAGTTATGAGAAAGAATATATAAAGAATATTCTTTTTTAATGTTATAATTAGAGTTTAGTTGAACATGAATTATTGTTGGATGCGATTCTTACTGTATTTTGAAGTAAAAATAAGTGTTTTAGTTGGAGATGCCCTATCACATCAATTTTAGCATTGTGGCATGAAGTGATTAAATCCATTTAAAGTCTAAATAAAATATAAGCAAGAAAACTTTAAACAAAATTGAATTGATTAAATTTGAACAACTTTGATCGGATCATATAAGACAACTTTAAACAAAGGAGATAACAATTATAATATGTAATTAAAAATTATTTTAAAAAAAGTATCAAAATGGCCTTTGAGAGAGGAATTTTTATTTGGTCAGGTGAACTGACGTAGCTCTACATTCGGACGCCAGTAAAATAGGGCAACGTGTTCTTACTTTTTACCACGCGGCCCGACAACCCGACCTGGAATGGACCCGGGATTGCTATTCTCGTATTGCTAGGTATTTGTTGATTTTGCTCGGCAATAACGAAAAATACCATTATGTGAAGACCAATGCCGAGCAATACCGAGTTTTTCTAGGTATTGTTCGGTATTACTCGGTATTGCTCTTCACAAAATGGTATTTCTCATTATTGCCAAGCAATACCTAGCAATACGCGAACATAGCAATCCCGGGTTCCGGTCCGGGTCGGGTCGTCGGGCCGCACAGTAAAGAGTAATAGCACATGACGACATATTATTGGCGTCCGAACGTAGAGCTACATCAGGTCACCTGACTTAATAATTGTTCTTGAGAGAGAGAGAGAGAGAGAGAGAGAGAGAGAGAGAGAGAGAGAGAGCATGTGCACTTAAAGAATGGAAGAATAGATAAAGTACTGTATTGAACTCAGATCATATTAACCTGATCGTTGGGAGCTTGAACTATCAATTAATAGATCTTGAATTTGAAGCCTGTAAATATGACGTGTGTATAAATTTGTCTTTAATTTGCTCAAAAGTTCAAAATATGTACTATATTGATATAGTCTACATTGAGAAACAAAGAGAAAAATTACCAAAAAAAAAAGAAACAAGACCTCGTAATGGTTCATCCACTGTAGACCTACATTCATTACTACGATGAACAATAGGAAATGTTCATTATATCAACAACAAAAATTGCCATCTAAATACTTTGTAGTACTTTGAGAGCACTAAAAAAAGAGTCAATAGAACTGAAGTCGTAGATGATGTATAGTTGTATACTAATATATGTATATGTAACTCCTAGGTAACTAAATAAGTTTTTGTTGAGGGGACAAGCGATCACAACAATGCTTGTTTGAAGGTAATATTTTATCTTTTTTTTATAATATTATGATAGGGGTTAAAAGGGAGCTCAAGAGTCTAAGACAGACACATAGAGCCGTCCAATTTTATGTATGTCAATAGTAAAAATGTTGTGTTTTTACTGTTTATTCACAAAGATAAAACTGAACAGATCTCTATATCTGATCTCCGCATGTAATAGTCTCATTCCTCCTAATATGGAGCCTTTTAATGCTTTGATATTATTTTCTATTTTAGATTTTGGCCATTTTTCTAAAATTTACTAAATCTTGATTTTCTTGTTGCGACATAGCTCAAATACTGTCTGACACTTTTTTTTTTTTTTGGACATTTAGGTCATTTAAGACAAACTCACATACACAACGCATACACATGGACTCGAACCTTAGACCTCTTGGTTGGAAGCCTAAGATTTCAACCAATAGACGAAGGAGAGTTGTGTGTCTGACACTTTCTTAGTCTTAGTATTATTTTTTCCTTAGAAAGGGGGTTCCGGGAAAGAAAGCTCCTGGGCGCCGAGCACGTAGTGTTCATCGGAATTTGGTGCTGTAGCGTCGTTGTGTGGTGCTCAACCAGCTCATACTCATCCCCACACAACTCGTTTCAATCTTCTTCGCTCCTATTATCATTTTCTCCGTAGCTCACTCTCTCTTTTCTCTCTCTCTCTCTCTATCTTCATTCGAGAACCGGGAGCAAGATTGAGATTGTTCGTTATCGTTGAGGTATTGAGGTGTCCAGCAACTTCTTATTAGTATGGTTTAGACTATTTTCTGGTAGATTTGTTTTGATTTTTGGATCAAATTTTCAAAATTTTGCTTGTTTTTTGGTAAAATATATGGGTTGAAAATAAACTGTTTGTTGCTATTTTTTGGTTTTGATGCAGTGTTGATAGTTATTCAGGATTTCTAGGGCCAGCAATTTTTATTTTTTTTTTATTTTTAATTTCCTTAAGATAATTGGATGAAGTTAGCTTGTAGAAGAGGGCGATCTCCTTTAATTTTGCCGATCTCTTTGTCCCGTCCGTAACGGCATGACCTGCAAATTATGCGGAAATTGGTGAATAGGGTTTGTTATCATCGTTTATTTGGTTGCCAATTATATTCCTAAGTCTTTTTCAGTGAAAATATCAATCTTTATTTTACCTGATTTGTTAGTTAAATTTTGTTACATGCCAGAATACTTATAGAGATAGAGAGATAAAAAACTTAACGTCTTAGCTTCGAATGAAGATTGAACACACATAAATAGAAGGAGGTGTGCAACAGTCATAAGAGACATCATAACTTTTACATGAAAAATCCCCAAAAAGGGAAAAAATCACAGAGTCTCACTTAGTTGAAATGTTTCCGCTAATGTTTGTCTTTGCGCAGGGAATTGGATTCCAGCTTGGGTGAGAGGGAGGAATAAACTTCCTTTAACAATTGCGCAATACACTCCATCCCATATAAGACAACTTTAAACAAATGAAATAATAATTATAATATGTAAAGTTAAAAATATTAAAAAAGTATCAAAATGGCCTTAGAGAGAGTAGAGAGAGAGCATGTGCGCAGAAACGTCATTTTACTCCCAAATCATCGTTCGTTTATTTCGCGCCTTTCTCGGACGAGTTCGGTAGAGAGAGAAACGGCGCAAGTGAACAGTGCGACGCCAATATTGGCCTAAGAGATGACGGAAGAAATGGAGTTCGGTTGCGACGTTTGAGAGCCTCCATTGTTTGCCGAACGGTTGGAGATGGTCTAAGAGAATTGAAGTAGATGATGTATACTAATAGATTTATATGTAAGTAACTCATAGATAACTAAATAGGTTTTTGTTAAGGAGCTCGGCCTCAGGGGACAAGCGCTCACAACAATGCTTGTTTGAATGTTATATTTTATCGATTTTTTTATTATAATATTATGATGGGGTTAAAAGAGAAATATTATTACATTCAGAGTCCAGACACAAAGAACCGTTCAGTTTGTAATCATGAGCAGTAAAAGCTCATGGGTGAACAGTAAAAGCTCATGGGTGAAGAGTAACTATATTTTTTTACTGCCACCAAATCTTTAATGAGAGATTGTGTGGACACCGGACACAGCTTACCATTCAGAGACGAATCAGATGCTACCACGTTATTCAGTACCAAACAGGAACAAGTGATTGTACCGAGTAAGAGATGATGCGGGCATTTTTAATACGATCTAGACGGCCTTCCTCATCCTCATGGAATAATTCATCGGGCTTGGGCATTCTCAAGAGTCTAAGGTAGAACCTTTTAATGCTTTGATATTTTTTTTTCCATTTTAGATTTCGGCCATTTTCTAAAATTTACTAAATCTTGATTTTCTGGTTGCGAAATAGCTCAAAGACTGTCTGACGCTCTCTTAGTAATAATTTTTCCTTAGAAAGGGGGTTCAGGGAAAGAAAGCTCCAGGGCGCCGAGCTCGTCGTGTTCATCGGAATTTGCTGCTGTAGCGTCGTTGTGTGGTGCTCAACCTGCTCATAATCTTTCCCACAAAACTCGTTTCAATCTTCTTCGCTCCTATTATCATTTCTCCGTAGCTCACTCTCTATTTTCTCTCTCTATCTTCATTCGAGAACCGGCAAGATTGAGATTGTTCGTTATTCTTTGAGGTATTGAGGTGTCCAGCAACTTCTCATTAGTATGGCTAAGACTATTTTCTCATCAAATTTTCAAATCTTTTGCTTGTTTTTGGCAAAATATATGGGTTGAAAATAAACTATTTGAGTATTTGTTGCTATTTTTTGGTTTTGATGCAGTGTTGATAGTTATTCAGGATTTCTAGGGCCAGCAATTTTTATTTTTTTATTTTTAATTTCCTTAAGATAATTGAATGAAGTTAGCTTGTAGAAGAGGGCGATCTCCTTTAATTTTGCCGATCTCTTTGTCCCGTCCATAATGGCATGACCTGCAAATTATGCGGAAAATGCTGAATAGGGTTCGTTATCATCGTTTATTTGGGTGCCAATTATATTCCTAAGTCTTTTTCAGTGAAAATATCAATCTTTATTTTACCTGATTTGTTAGTTAAATTTTGTTACATTGCGGAATACTTATAGAGATAGAGAGATAAAAAACTTAACGTCTTAGCTTCGAATGAAAATCAAACACACATAAATAGAAAGAGGTGTGCAACAGTCATAAGAGACATCATAAATTTTACATGAAAAATCCTGAAAAAGGGGAAAAATCACAGAGTCTCGCTTAGTTGAAATGTTTCCGCTAATGTTTCTCGTTGATTACAAATGATGACCTTCCTTGGGGAAGGCGTTGGCAAAATTTAACAATTATATATCATATAGAGAACATTACATGGGTGAACTTGGAAGAATTTAATGACCCGAGAGTTGTTCTCAAAATTACGTTGGTCAGTTCGTTTTGTCGATAGGACTGTAGTCGGGCGACGGTAGTCATATGACGATGGTCGGAGGGAGTTTAGTTGGACAACAGTGGTAGAAAGGATCGTAGTCGACGGGCGATAGAATTCAGAAGGATCTTAGTAGGATGACGAAGGTCGGAAGGACCGTAGTTGACCTCCATCGACGAGATACTGAGGTCTAAAGGACCGTAGTTGAGTGACAGTGGGCTTCACCTGCTTAGGTTCGAGTGCTTCGCATTCGAAATTTTTTTCCTGTATGATGTCCCGATGTTGTGTACTCGAGTGCCCTGATGTTGTGTACCCGAGCGCCCATAGCTACAAAGTTTGCTAGGAGAAATGACATAAAGAGAAGCACCACAATGCTCTAGGTTTGGCGCCGCAACGCTGTGGGTTTGAGCACTGCAATGTTCCAAATTGGGGTTGCAGCTTTGCGAGGTGGGCTAGACAGTTTTCTTTCTCATTTTTTCTGAACGGTGGCATCCCTTTGTCTTATTTAATTGACTTTCTCTTGTGTTTTGTGTGTGAGGACGGCGTAAAAGAACAGAAGAAATGAGAGAGCGAGAGAGAAGAGAGATGTACTTATTTCTCCCCATTTTTATAGTGGATTTCTTGGTGTGGTTTGGCTCTGCTGTTTTTCCCAATTTTGAGTTTTTTGGCGTTAAATCCTTGTGTTCTTTTATTTGATGTTGTTTTTTAATTTCTTGTTGTTTCATCACATGATTTACTTCCATCCCCAGCACATAATTGGGCGACAGAGGTTAGTGGGACCACTGCTGGTGAGGATCGTATTCAGGTGACGGTGGTCTGAGGATTCATAGTCGGGCGATGGAGGTCGTAGGGATCGTAGTCGGCGAGCGATTGAGGTCGGAAGGATCATACTCTAATTATGGTGGTTTGAGGATCGTAATCAGATAATGGAGGTCACTGGGATCGTAGTCGGGTGACGATGGTCGAAGGGACCGTAGTTGTATGACTGTAGTCAAAGGTATTGTACTCAGGCGATAATGTTCGGAGGGATTGTAGTCGCTATCGATGGTGGTCGAACAGATCATAGTCGAGCAACGATGGTTAGGGATCGTAGTTGAGCGACTGAGGTCGAAGGGATCATAGTCGTTGAGCGACGAAGGCCAAAAGGACCATAGTTGGCTGGTGACAGAGGTCGAAGGGGCTGTAGTCGGCCAGTCGGGTGATAGAGGTTGGAGGGATCTTTATCGAGCAACAAACATCGGAGAGATAGTAGTCTATGGGTGACAGAGGTCGGAGGGATCATTGTCGTGTGACGGTGGTTGAAGGGAATGCAGTTAGCGACGATTGTGATTAGAGGAACTGTAGTCGGACGATAGAGGTCAGAGGGACCGTATTCTAACAACTAAGGTCAAAGAGATCATTGTCGGGTGATAGAGGTCAGAGGGACCGTAATCGACAGGCGATGAAGGTCAGAGGGATCATAGTCAGGCAATGAAGGTTAGAGGGATTGTATTTGGGCGACTGGGGTCGGAGGAACAGTAGTCGGCAGGCAATGGAGGTCGGAAGGATTGTGGTCGAGCAGTGGTGGTCCGAGGATCATACTTAGCTTGCAATTGAGGTCGAATGGATTGTAATCGGCGATGGTAGTTTGATAGATCGTACTCGAGGGCGGTGGTATGAGGACCGTAGTCGGCAGACAATGGTGGTTTTGGGAACAATAGTTGGTAGAAGATTGAGGTTGGAAAGATCATAGTCAGGTGACTGCGGTCTAGGTCATTTTCGGCGGACAACTAAGGTCAGATGGATCATAATTAGACGACGATAGTCGGGCGTCGGTGGTACGAGGATAGTAGTCAGTGGGCGATGGAGGTCGGAAGGATCGTAGTTGAGTGACGGTGGTTTGAGAGCTATAGTTGGGCAATGGTAGACCGAGGTCCATAGTCGGTGGGTGATGTTAGTCGGATGGCGGCGACCGAGTGAAGAGCAAACGATGGTAGCCGGATGGAGTTCCGATGCAATGTTTGTGTGGTGATCCGACTGAGGTGGCGTGGTGGAAGTTCGACGACACTTGACCGGTGAAATTCATGCGGCGAGGGTTCGTTGACGATGGTACTTGGGTGGAGCTCGTGGATTCTTCAACCTTTAAATCTCCCTTAAATTTCTAGCCCAAGATCTGAGCCTCCAAATATCCCCTTTATGTAGGGAGAAGGGATCTGTTTATAGATTTTTGGTAGTGGCATACCCTATAAATATGGAATATGTCCGTAGCAATTTTGGAGTGCTACATCAAACGTCTCATATTGATTTCCTCAATCACGGAGTATTCGTTCAGCATTTAAGTGCCTTAATGATACCAGAATTAAGCAATCTTGGGATCATTGGATTTGTCTCGTTGAGCTGCTCAAATTGACATAACATAAGCATGCCATATTTATAGATCATTTGATCATCCAATTAGTGCATTGAAGCTTTCAAATATGCTTCAGGCCATTGATTTGGGTCCATCTGTGCTCAGATTTGACTTATTTTAGTGTTGTTGGGTTTATCTTGTCGAAATCTTTAGTTTGGCTACAAGTTTGCTAAAATTGGAATTCGGATGATCCCAAAATTTAATCTTGGAAGTTACCAACTTGAATATCTCTCGAGATTCGAGTTCGATCAAGAAAAGTTTTGGTGACGTATCATGTTTGAAGGAATCCTTTTTTTTTTTTTTGCTGAAGGGTATCTCTCTGATCTTGCTATGCACCTTCAGGAGCTGTTTGGGTGTACTTAATAAGTCCAATTTTACCAAATTTGGCAAATTATGTATGTTCGAATTTATTAAATTTGCTCCCAAAGGGCAAGGTTAGGTCATAACACTTGGTACACATCATATGCATCATTACTAAGGGATCGCTTAAGTGAGTGTCTTGCCCTATGACGATGCCACATAGTGAGGCAACCTTGCCTTCATGGGAAGATTTGTGCTTTCATTCTTAATGTCGAAGTTGAGTTAGTTTCTTTTGAAGAAAATTTTACATTAGTTGATGTTAAAAGACTAAGGAACAAGCTAGGTTAAATGTAGCTGCAAGATCTTTAAATTCATGAGTAAATCTTTAGGAAGAAGAAGATGAGTCCATTGAGATGGAAGTAGAAATCAAGGGCTACAAATTCATTGGTAAAGAAGAGCACATGGATATTATGAAGAAAGGACATAATAATGGAGGTTGGACTACCCTAAGCTATATCCATGCTACAAATATAGATTGACTTTTTAAGTTATTTAAACATATTTTGTGCACTTTGTTCAATGTAACTTAAAATATTTTAGATCTTGTAATGCAATGAAAATCAAATAGTTACTATATTTTACTGAAATTGGTTAATATGATGATTATGATTTACTTAAAATTATTCTTCATGGTTAAAATAAATTTATTGAATGAATTTATTTGTTTTTTGTCTGTATTCACATGGGCCCCTTATTCTTTCGAAAATACCAATTTAAGTTAATGGAATGTAATAAGTTAGGAGTCATCATCTTATAAAATTAGTCAATAAGCAATGCAAATTGGAAATTTAAAGTTGAGGGAACTTGATAAAATAAATTTATTTCAAATCAATAGCTTAAAAAATAAATGTTTTTTAAAACAAATTTGTATATTAATAGTAATGTTATCTTAATCATGTAATGTATTTTCAAATATTGTTGAAGCTGAAGATTTAAACTAAAGCCAAAACTTCTGAAAACTTTGAAAATAAAGCTCCATCTATTTAGTCTGAAATCAAAACCAATTTCAGGTTTGTATGTAAACAGCCTTGGTGGTGGAGTAGAGATTTCAAAATATTAATGAGGCAAATAAAGAAATTGCAAAAGACGCTATTACTAGGACATGAAGTATAAGGAAACTAGAAGTTCTACAAATGGGATAAATAAAGTTGAAGTTACAACTTTTGATGATATATTGTTGGCTAGGTATTAATGAAAAAGATCAATGATATAGATAAAATATCTACGGCTATAGAAAGAGGATCCAAATATTTTTATCAAGCTGATGATAATTTGATATAGTTAAAAATGAATAGAGGTATGCCAAAAATAGCATGAGTATAAGTTGTCTAAAATGATTTGTGCATAATACAGCCAGCAACTCATGCGGCAATCTAGCATTAATGGAGATTAATGAAATCAACTCCTATTATCTGGGTAAGGCTAATAATGATGGTGGAATTAAATTAATGCACTTTTCATCAAACCAAGCTTATAATTGGCTTATGAAGCTCTGATCCATGCCTTTACCAAGCACTTTTTGCAAAACATCTTCAGTAAAAACTTGTACTGCATTTTTGGATTTGGATTTCCTGAATTTGGGCCTCATTTGGATTTCCTGAACAGGGGTAACTTTCATCAATTTCTGTTCTGACAGGTAATAGCTGAAAAGCAAGCGAAACTTTTGTTAGACTTATCATGGGAATATCTAAAGCGGTTGGAGTTGTGGGATTAGCTTTCTTCTTCGCTGCTGTTTACCTCAAAGATTTAAGCATGAAGCTAATTCCTTTATCACTTCTTTATGACTCATTCATTGCCAGCCTAGTTTCAGTCGCTTCTCACCCAGCCATTAATTTTCCTTTGATATTTGGAAAGGACTCCAATGGGAAATTTCCACTATGGTCGAAGATTCTGTTCTTTCCATTCTTATTTCTTGTTCGAGTATATGCTTTCTTTAAGAGGTTGAAGAGCAGGGAACCTATTTATAATGAAATTTCAGAAGGTTTGTATGTTGGAGGGTGGCCTTCTTCTAAGAAGCATTTACCTCCTGGCGATCCTGCAGTTATTGATTGTACTTGTGAACTGCCTAGAAGTTCTGTCGTCTCAGAGGATGCATATCTATGTCTGCCAACTTGGGATACCAGAGCACCACAACCATCGCAGATTGAAACTGCGGTTCGCTGGGCAACCAAGATGTGGGCTCAAAAGAAGCCAATTTATGTCCATTGTGCATTTGGTAAGCTCACCTTTCTTTCAATGACAAATACAGTAGCCAAAACTCACAAAAGAAAATTGATTAGTAAAAAATTGAGAATGTGTGAGGCTAAGAGGTCATAGGTATCGAACTGACTACTGCCAAACTTATTAAAAAGGTGCTACATCCACCGTAATCCTTTCATCATATTAGTGACAATAACATCCTTGCTCTGTAGTTTTTATGCATATTCTGTAACTAGTTTTTTCTACATCTCTCTTTTTTTGACGTGGACATAAATTTTGAGTTTTAGTTATTCGAGTTGTTACTATATGCCTTTTAAATTTTGTTATTTTTAAGTGTTATTTTAATGCATGTCATTTCATTTATTAGTAATTTATTTGTAGTTTGTTATTTATTTTATCCATTATTTTATAACTTTTGAGTCATGTAAGGTACAACTTGTGCTATTAATAATGTTCTTGTTGTTGTTGTAGCCATTCTTCTTCTTCTTCTGTCTTCTTTATCTCTTTCGGGCTTTCAATATTTGATTAAGTGCAAGAATTGAAAAACTCCAAGACATGTTATCTTCTCGCACAAACACGAGGCTTGTTATCTTATTGCTTTTCATGATCCTTTAACATTTTACTTCTCTACTAATTATTTATTATGAAGATTGTTCGCGTCAAATTGATATCAGAGCTATCATTTAGATTTTATGTAGGACTGCTTTGATATCAATGTGTGTTATGCTTTTTCTATTTTGCTCAAAAGTGCAATATCCTCCTCCCTCCAATTGTTCATGGAATAGTGAACTCACTATCATCCACCATAAAACTCCGTATCTCCAGAGATCTCATTCTTGGTGAGGACATTCTATGTCATGAGAAAGGTGAAGATATATTATCTTCTACTTTAAGTGTTTACAATGGGAGTAGGCCAGAGAATAAGGGCAACAATTGAGGTAGAGATGGATTCAAGTTTCAACCAAAGAGCCAATAAAAGGGTTATAATAAGGCATGCTAGTGATGTAGCATGATTGACCACATGAAATGGGTCTGCCTGCAAGCCAACGGTTGATAGAGTTCAAAATAAATGAAGAACTTTGCAAATGTTGAGTTGGACGATATCCATAATGCACTGGTCTTAGTGTGTATGGTTTGAAGGAGTCTTGGATCTTAGACTCAAGATTGTTAGTTCACTCTACTTGACGTAAATAATTTATAACTAATATTTTGCAAAAGATTATAGGAAGGTTTATATTAATAATAGTGAACTCTTGGATTTTTTGGAAGTTGGTGATGTGCTGGTAAAGACAAACAATGTGGAAGCTTTGAAATGTAAGGGTTGTTCGTTTCTTGAAGTTGAGGTGTAATCTCCACATTAGTCATGCAAGAAGATACAGTAGTCCCTGCAAGCAAATATGTTGCAAGAATGTTAGATCCTTTGTGAATATGAACACACAAAACATTACCTATGAACAAAGCCGACGTATCTATAATATATATAAGGCACCCACGAACTATTGTGGCAAGAGGCAATGAATAGCGCAACACCATCCAGTCAAGAACCATCTAGTGGAAGTCAAATACATCGATTCTCTGCAAGCAAAGGAAGATGACAATGAAATGTTTACAATACATATAGTAGTCCCGCCCACAAGCAATGACAGTAAATGTATTACAAGCTACAAGCCACTACCTGCAAGTTGGGTAGATGATTCTTGCATATCCACTAGTAACCCATATGACATTCAACAAAGTTGGTAGTGCACAAAAGATTGCATGCAAGAAATCACAGATGACTAGTAGCGCAGCGCCATGACCCACCTATGAGCTATGTTGGAAAATTCATACTAGATATAACTTATCTGTATGCAATAGCTAGTGGATCATGAATATCGCGTGCCGAAGCACGAGCAATGTTAACAAAGCTCTCATTGCATTTTAGTATACCCGCATAAAGCAGCTGACAACTTGTAGCGTGCTACTAAGCAACGCCACCATATCCATAGCACTCGTACAAGCGAACAAAAGGCATTTACAAGCCCTTAAATATAGAACTTGTGCATTTTCCAGATGATCATCACCTGCAAAACTAGATATAGTTGAATATTGTATAAGCCCCCTCTTGCATTAAAATATGATTACTCGCACGAGATCCAATGAGCATGATGCATGCACACTCGTGATGCCTGAGGATGCTGCGCGGGTTAACAAAATAAATCTAAGTTCAAACCCGATCCTCCTATGCGAGTATATAGGAGTCGACACGGCTCAAACTATCAAACAAATATACTTTTGCGGCGTCGATTGAAATATTTATTTATACATGGTTGTAACATCAACTAAGATATTTATTTTATATATTCATATTAGGACTTCAATACCTATAATAAAGAAAATTCACTAATAAAGGTATAAAGCTGACGAAGAACTCGATCCTTTGTCGGCAAGTAGATAGAGTTGACAAGGTTCAACTGGTGAAGTAAAATTGCCCATAAATACCTCGATAATGACCGTATTGAATGTAAATCTCAACCCGGGGGACCCCAAATACTTCAAATTGCACTCAAATTTCCATAAAAAATTCAAAACTAAAAAAAAAAACAAAAGCCTAAGATATTTAAAATTGAAATAAAACATAAAACAATTAAAGCAGAATATATCCACCCTCGATAACAAATTTTCCACGTAGAGAAATTTAAAAATTACTTCAGCTCACAAAGAGCCAATGTATGGTGGAGAATATCACTTGGATTCATTCTCAATTCGTCTCTTTCCAGTAAGGACGTAGCACGTGTCCTCTAACCGGTAGTTTCGTTGCCAAATGACACTACAGGTAAACAGTTATGACTGGGACCCTCTAAACCAGATGGTTTTGCCGCCGAATGGCACCACTAAATTACATTATAGTCAGAGCTCATATGCTCCCCAATGGCTTCAAATCCTTGAGTTATAAATCAATATGATATAATCGATAGGGCACAAAACCCTCTGTTAGTTAAGGTGGATTCATATTTGTTCCCTCAGACGAATTTTTATCCCTGGTCTACAAGGTACTTTTAACGAAGCAACCATGATTGCAGACAAAGATCCTTCGGAGGTTGGGTCGACTACCTCCTCTGACTAAGTAGACCAGGGATCATGATGGCTTGCGACGATATAACCATGAGATCTTGATCGAGTCTATCATCACTCCCCCTATCATCCGCTTTTAAGTGCAAGGTGGTAAATTTCCAATTTTAAATATTAAATTTTCAAATACCAAACCATGCTGCTACTATACACCAGATACTATGTATCTATTTGACGACTAGCCTTAATTGAAATTTCTCTCTCACTATCGGGAGGGGTTATTAACTATAAGGGCTTGCGCCTATTGGAAACTTGAACTCAGATCATAAAGTCCTTGCAAAGTGAGGGCGAAATCTCTGGGTAAAGTCTTAATTCAAAACCCAATTTGTCTTTTGAAAATTTTCCTCGGAACTTAATTGTTAAAACTCTCCTCAACGATCTGGAATAAAAGAAATAAAGAAGTCCGCGGAGATGCCGGGGCGCAAGGAGAGTTTTAACAAATAAGTTTTCGGAGCCCAAGGGCTAATGATGAGCTACCAAGGTTGGAAGGGTGGTGGCTAGTAGTGAGGATTGAAATCTTGCTAGTGAACTTGATTGCTCATCGAGGAGGATTGACAAATTAGGTGTGGAGGTTTGACAATTGAGGTTGGTGGTCAATGACTAGCAGGATACACTGATATAGAGAGGTGGTCGGCAACTTAACAGTTGTTGGAGATTGGAGAACGAGAGGGTTGACGAATGATAGGATGCTAAGAGATGCTTGACCTTTGGTGGGATATTAAGATGTGGTCTTCAACCTTGGTTTTGGACTCTAAAAGGTCCTACCTCTATTTTAGCTTAGCAACAAGTCTTTTGAGAGGAGCTTGAGGTGAGATTTAGTAAGGGATATCAGTACCCCATAACAGGAGATAGCAACTAACGACACATCTTTTGATCAATATTAAAGATGAACATTTGGAGTTCTCAACTTGGAGGTTTTCTGTAGTAACAAATTTGTAAGGTTGTATTACAAAGAGAAACCTCTAAAGGTAGAAAAAATATGCAAATGTTATATAATATAATAATATTAAATATTAATATATTGAAGATTTCCTTTCTTTCTTTTATTGGGTTTGCTATTTTGTGAGATAAGATTAAGAGGAAAACAAATCAGAAGTGAATAAATATTTGGGTTTGCATATATTGTAATATTGCACACGTCTCTAGACTTAAAGAAAGTTTTTTTCTTTTTTGCTATGGACATGAGTGGATCTCACCGAATCTCATACATTCCTATGTTTTTTCTTAGTTCTCCTTTGTAGGCTTCTTTATTCCCTTGGTTTGATCACGTTTTATTTGCTCAAGCACACACTTTTCCCAACATAGACACTGTGTTTATGTTGTTTAATCTGCCCTAGTGCTAGGTCTTATCGTTGTAGCATTTAATAAGACTAGACAACAAATAGATTTGGAGGTATGAAATTTTTTTGGTTGTTGCACTTATATTATTGTTGGTTCTAACTTTGTGCACAACACATATGTTGAAGAGGTATTTCTCAGTGTTTGATTCAGGCATCATCTGGGTTGGATGATAGTTTTCAATGTTAAGCTCTTCGTGGCTTTAGAAGGTTTCAGTGCCCGACTTGAAAAAGAGGACTCACAGAGAAGATCCAAGTTATATCCACAAAATTGTGTCAATGGAGAAAATTATTGAAATTGATGTAATATATTTCATGTTTTGATGCAACACCTATTGCACAAGATCTGAAGAAGCATTGCATATAATCTAATATGCCTAAATATTATTAGTATACATACATCAAATGATTGGAATTCTTCATTGGAATACTCATTAATTCATGTGAAGGGTATGGACTATGGACGCTTTAGTTATTGTGTTAGGGCATTTATCAAGACGTCTCAGCAATTATGAGGTCGTCTTGGGATGCAGGAGTGCATTTCACTCCTCGGCAGGCTTGCAAGGAGTGTTGAAGGCTATAAGAGTTGATCTCTCATTTAGGTCTTGTTAGCTTGGATGCATCCACGACATATCCTATTATTAAGGCTTTCATGAGTAAGGCATGCCCTCTGTGATAGGAAATACTTGAGTTTGCAAGCAAATCTAACAATAATCGGTAAAATAGCGAAAATACATAAGAAAATATGATGGAAAAACAATCAAACTATAGATAGTTTTATAGAAAGCAAAGCAAAACAAGAACGAAACAAAGATACAATTGATCCTCAATTCGAGAGGAGGATTGTTCTCTCCCAATCTATACAATTGATCCTCAATTTGAGAACAATTTTTTTTTTTTTCTTATTTTTCATGCTATCTAGAAGAAATTTGAGAACACTTCCTCTCAGTTTGTCCACTTCAATAAGTAAACAAGCATGCATATTCATTAATGTTAACATGAACGACTACCTGCTCATGAAACAGGCCATGGAAGGAGTGTCTGTGTGATTTGTGCCGTTCTGGTTACTTTGGGGGTGACAGAAGATTGGAAAGCTGCCGAAAAGCTCGTCCGAGAAAAACGACCGAAGATTAGTATGAATGCGCTCCACCGTAAACATTTGGAGGAGTGGTCGAAAATCACGCATTTGTCGAACAGATAACATAATGATCCCATTGCAACCACATCTACTGCTTCCGTGCAACAATGAGCTATAAACAGTAAAGCCAGGTCCCCTTAGGTTGTTCTGTTTTGACTTTAAGAGGATCTTCATCATTTGATAGTTTTAAGATTTCAATCAAGAAGAAGTATTTGCTTGTGGCGAAAGTATGGGCCTTCTTACAAACACATAAGATCATCTACTTCCCTTGATAAACATATCTCATCAGGTGGACAAGCAATGGAGCTTGTTTTTGCTCTTTATTGTCTGAGGATTGGAAAACTTCTTCCTGAACGGGCATCTGAATTTGAGATCTTCATATCCAGGTCAAATTTCTACATTTTTTGCTATTTTTCGTTCACTTATTTTTAAGTTTTTAGATGTAAACAAGCTTGTTATATTTCTTCAAAGGCCAGGAGGCCAGACACTTCAACTCTTTGCTTTGTATTCTCTTAAAGTAATTAGAAGTAAATGAGCTGAAGCTTTCAGGTGCTTATCAATTGCTAAAAATGCATGATAGTGAGTTATATATTTTCCTTCACGCTCCTTGTTTTCTTCAAATGTCTTTTCATGCTTGTACTTGGTTCTAAGGCTTTGTTTGGGCGGCTTTTTTTATTATAAAAATTTTTAATTCAAAAAAAATTTGTACTAAAAAGTTGTTTTAGATTCATTTGAGATGGCATTCTTACTGTTTTTTAAAATAATTTTTTATTACAAAATTTTCTTAAACAAAAAAATTTTGTACTAAAAAGCTGTTTCATAAAGTAATAAGAAAGCCATTCCAAATGAAGTCTTTGGTTTCGTTTGGGACGGCTTTCTTTCTGCTTCCTAAAGCAACTTCTTAGTACAAAAATTAAAATTTTTATACTATGAAGCTGCTTTAAGAAGTAATAAGAAAGCCGTCTCAAACAAAGCCTTAATCTTTGCTTTGACTGTTTCATATATATGACCGGACTCAATTTCTTCTTCAATTTAAGGGAAATCATATTGAGCACATTTGTAGAGCCTAATGAATGTCTTATTTTTTTCATTGTATTTTGTGGTGGACCATTATGTGATACATTTAAGAGATTACAATTGTAAATTAGTTCATAAAATTGCAAAAATCTATAGTAGTGGCAATAGAACTTGATTTTCAATTGAACGAATCTGTATAGCATTGCTAGTGTATTTGGTGTATTTATCTTATTTTTGAGAGTAATAAAATTAGATGAAAATATCCTAATTAAAGTTTGAGATGTGGACCGATGATTCTTTGACCTCTGATTGCTCTTAGACTCGTTATAGAAAAATCCGTCGTTACCGGTGGCTCTTTTTTTTTTTTTTTTTTTTATATTTTTTTTTTTTTTTGTCGTTATAATCCGCATAGGAAATTAAAACTGGCGGTTTATTTCCGGTGGCAAATATTTCTAGCGGTTTTTCAACGGCCATATACATTGGAAATTAAAAAAAAAAAAGTATTAAAAAATACGAAGCCACCCGGTTGCCTTGCCCCTGTGCTAGCTGCCTCCCCCGCATGTTATGGGATTCGAAGTTAGTATGCTTCAAAGCCCCATTTAACTTGCTGGAAGGCAAAAGTTTTAGAAGTGCCACATTTTTTATTCAAAACATAATAAGAAAAGGCCGTTGGACGGCCCTTGGACAACCATCGAAAAATCTGAAAATAAAAAAAAAAAAGTTGGACATATTTTGTCGTGAACAATCGGAAGGCTTCCGTAAAGCTGCCGGAAAAAATCTGTCGGTAATGTATGATTTTTTTACAGTGACTACTTATGTAGACTTCTTGTTCGGCCATTTAGGTCAATTAAGATAAATTTATACACACATACTGGAATTCAAAATCTCTTAATTAGTAGTCAAAGCTCCCAACCAACAATCAAGAGCTGGCTCAAATAAGTTCACATCACAAGCATATATTATCTATTAAAATGTTATTATATTGTTCGTTGCAATTCTATTTGTTACACTTTTTTAAAAAAAAATATCTTAATGAATAGAATGGCACTATTAGGGTTTTATGCTTAATTATCAAGGTCGTTTTCTTAGCTCTAATGAGACGACGACCGGCCTTATTTTTTACTGAAAAAAAAAAAAAAATTGTAATGGTGGGTTCTGATTGATTGGTGCTTAAGTTAAAACAATTAAATGCTAGTTATTGGATTGGTGACAAAATTTGCAAAATCTTTTAGTTGATTTTAGGGTTAAATTCAAGATCTTAGCTATTCATGAACTTTCATTAGTGCAGAAACATTCGCTAATATGATGTTCGAGTATACTAATTATGATTAGGAGTTTAATTATAATTACTTTTACTTTTACAAAATAAAATAAAATAAACAGCATCTCTTAAAAAAAACATCTCAATAAATATGAGTTAATGCTCTGACAAACACATTTGAAAAATAAAGAATTTTATATTAATTCTACTATGCATGATATTTTTTATATTTATAAATGAAAAAATTACGAGAAAATTTGTATGATGTTTTATTTTATTTATATTTAATCTTTTACTGTAGAAATTAAACATTTTTATATGTTGGTTATTACATTTGTTTGGCATTGAACTACATAAAATTATCTTGAGTAAATCTTATTTCTTAGTTTATTTACTCTTATGTTAACATTGCCTATCATGTACACATCTCATAAATCTAACACTTATATGTTTGCATGGGTTTAATTTGATTATTTGTTTACTTGTATGTTTGAATTGGGAAGAATTTTACATGAAATTTTAAAATGTATTTGCACTCATAATTCAACCATTTGATTTTTTCTTTAGGCGTGCTTAAACTCTTCAATTGTAGGGTCTCGAGTTGTTCATCTATAGGAGATGTGATCGACATTTATGAGTTCAATCTAAGTGCTCTAAAGCATTGGATAATTACAAATACATTAAGTTATATCTGGTGAGTTGATTTCGGAGAAATTGAGCTTAGTTTGACTTTAATTGGCTTGGATCCAAAGGGTGGAGTTGGGTTAGGTCAAACTTAGAGTTTGACTAGGTTATCCAAGTCGAAATGAGTCCCATAGGTTTTAAGCTTAAGATTAAGTTTAGTTTCCTTGGATTACATGTAAGCCTAAGATTAAGTTTTATTTAATTTGACTTTGATTTAAATTAAAGCTTGATTTAACACTCGAATGTTGACTTGGATGAATCTTAAAATAATTTAGGGTAGGGTTAACCTTGGTTCTAGCTCAACTAGTATTGGGTCTAGTCAAGCTAAAGCTTCAAGTGAGAACTTTATATAAGTTATGGTCTAAATTAATGTTTGGCTAAATCTATATTCTCAAATGAGATGGTTGAGTCTTAGGATTGCTTCTAAATGTGAGTTAGTGTTAGGTTTTGATTTCGATTAAGTTTAGTTTATTCCAATAGTAAAAAAATAAGCTTGGGATTGTGTTTAAATTATTATGTTTTAGGGTTTGATGTTTGTGTTGATTAAGTCTTAAAGTTTGATGGATTTGATGTGATGATTTTACTCGATCAAAAGGAGGGTCAATAGATTGCTTAATAGCTTCCCTCAATTCCTTTGACAAGCTATAACATTTTCATTTGGGATAATGATGAACTATACGATATATTTAGTCAAAGTTATCAATATTTCATTATATTGCATCACAATTATCTTTATGTTAAATTTGATAAATGTATCATACTTTCACTGCCTAACTAAAAGATAAACTTATCAATCTTTAAAAAAAATCCTTCAAATTCAAACTACAAAAATATATTTCTCAATCGATCTCTCTTTGAACCTCTTGGTTGTTTTATTAACCATATTTTTAAGCTTTTTATTCAAATATGACTACATATTTTTCTTGTTTTCAAGATCAATATAGTCAGAATCCTTAATAATCATTCCTCTATTATCTTAAGTTTTACTATACTAGCACTCATTTTTTTCTATAAATATTCCATCATGCTATCATATTCTTCATATATATTATAACATCTAATAGCATTATTCTCAAGGTGCATTATTAAAATATTATATATAGTTTTAGCTCAATAAATCACTGCTTCCTTCATAAATCTATAATTTTAATCATTAGTATGGTTAACTATGATTGCACCTACAATTTAATATTCTTAAAAACTCATGCATACACTCACATACATGCATGCTATTATTAAAATCAAATAATGCAATACTTAGTTGACCTCCTATTGTGCACATTTCACTAATACAAAAGATTAGCTTGTGCTTTGTGACAAATCAAATTGAAGTTTCGTTTGGAACGACTTTTTTAAGGTTTCATAAAGTAGCTTTCTAGTAAAAAAATTTTATTTTTTGTACAAAAAAAACTGCTTTAAGAAGCAATAAGAAAGCCGTCCCAAACAAAGCCTTAATCTTCTCCCATCAATCTAAGGCTTCATTTGTGACGACTTTTTTACTGCTTTCTAAAACAATTTTTTAGTATAAATATTTCTTAAACTAAAGAATTTTGTACTAAAAATTTGTTTTAGAAAGCATTAAGAAAGTCATCCTAAAAGAAATCTAAACCATACTCTAATATCAAATTCTATTCCATCCTAATCAGCATGATATATATATATACCATATAAAAGTTATCAAATTTATCAAATATTTTAATATCATATTATAATGAATGGTGAGACAAACCATCCTACCAAATATCCATTTCTACATGCTAAAATTGACCCGTTTAAAAATTCCAATTGGTTTATGTGATGGATGTCTCCAGGTCAGTTGAGAATTGATTAGTCACACCGTCAAATGCCTAACAAGCTGAGATGAAAACGGGTGAAGACCCCGTTCCCAGGTCAGTCGGCTTCATGAATCCTTTTTCACCATTGTGTCCGGCTAAAAGTCAAATTCTCATCTAAATCTAATAAAGAAAGATCATTTCTAATATTTTCTAACCAAGTCTTTTTAGATCTACCTCTACCTTTCTTAACAAAAGCCAAATCTAATACCTCAACTTTCCTAACCGGATCATCAGAATACCCCGTTCCCAAAAAAATAAAAAAATTCCAACTGAATTATGAAGCATGAATGAGCATCCATTTATAAACCCACCCAACTACATAAATTTATTCAATAAATGAATCGAGACTTCAGCTTCACAAATGGACAAGAGTGGCAGAGCAAAGGCCTTTCGGAAGCATCAATGGTTTGAAAAGGGCCTGCCTTCCATTGTCTCTTCCTTAATGGATCTCTTGTCTCTTTGCCCAACAGATGCCCTTCTTTGTGCCATGGTGGAACCAAACACCAGCAGGTATAATAAATATATCTTGTCCTGAAGCTCCATTTACACTTGTGAAGTAGTAAGAGATGGTTGTAACAAATCCTTTGCATTGTTAAAATTATAACCTCTTAATTGGTTTGTCCTTTCCATGCGAAGTATTCTGATTAAGATGTGCAGCATACTTTTAATCAAGTTGTATTTAAAATAAAATTACCTTTTAGTTTTGCTATAAATATAATTAATGTGTTGTTGTTTTAACTAATCATATTATATTTATATCATACGATATGATCAAAAAATATATATAATTTTCAGGGAATTAGC